ATTTTCAACTAACCTATTTGGTACTACACCTACATTGGAGATAATTAAACGCAGAATTGAAATTTTCTCAATGTTTAGCATTGCCTGCATTTCTATTGATAACTGTAGATATTTTGAAATTTTGGTGTGGTATGTTTGTATTATGTTGTGTGTATTAGGAAGAATGAGAATGGCTTCATTGGTATGTTTCTTTATAGGTACAATATTTGGTCTCTTGGCTGTACTGTCTCTGTCTGAAGTATTACAGCTTGTATTCGGCGTTTTCAAGGAATGGAGATGGAATGTAAGTGTAATAGTGTGTACTATCTTGGAGTAAGTTTAGATTTGTTGCTAAGTCTTTGTGAAGGATTTTGCGTTGTTGTGTCTAGCTTTGTAATCAGTTTGTGCCAGGGTGCTACAAGGTGAAGTTATGTGCTGAATCGTTTCGGGTTTTTCTTTGCCAAGTCGACAACAATCGTCTCTTATATTTGGATCTTTTGATTATATATTTTCTGTAATTCTTGATATTAATTACTTGGTCTTGAATAGCAAATAAAAACGCTTCTGTTTAGGCACATAAACTTAATGTTTTGAGCCAAGTCAATGGCATTTTCTTATGAGTTTTGTGTAGATCTTTGAAGAATTTTCCATGTAGTTGTTTTTGTTTCAGCCCACTTATTATGTTGTCTAGATTGTGCGGTGTGGGGATTTTTCGGATAGATTTAAGGGTGTGTGGTTCAAGTCTGCCCTTGATATGGCGCGAAATAATTCGTTTCTTTCTGCGCGTCTCAGAAAATAAATATTTCTTCAATTCCGAAATTTGTCTCTTGTATAAATTTTTCAAGTTCTGGAATCCCCTTCCCCCGTTTTGTTTTGGTCATGAAAGTCTCTCAATTGATGTCTTCAGTGGTGTGTTCTACATTGTGTGAATCATTTTCTTGTTGTGATATTTAAATTTTCCAAATCAGTTTTTCCATTCTTTCCATTTAACTGTGTCTTTAAAATTAATTTTAATCTTGCCAGATATGCTTCTTTGAGTTTTGTATTAGTGTTGGTATTATCTATATGAAAAGATATTTGTATGTTTCGTTTCGTTCTTGGGCTTCGATTACTTCGTTATTCTGGATTATATATGGTATTTGTTGTTGAACGCCTTTTCTGATAGCTTGAGTCTTACATTTGTCAACACCGAAGCTCGTCCCAATGTCACCCAAAAACTGTTCTGTTAAGTTAATTAAATTTGTCAATTGATTTTTCGCACTTGCATGTGAGTATTTTTATATCATCCATGTATAGCAAGTGACTTAACCTATTTTCTGTTTTGGTGTCAATTCTTATATCGAAACCATAATTGCACCTGTTCAAGAGGTCGGAAAGAGGATTTATTACCAAACAGAACCATAGGGATAGCCTTGAAACACTCCTCTTCTGATTATTATTATTATTGGATTGTCTTGAAGTATTTGATCATTTAAGATTATTTGAAGCGTGGTTTTCCAAAATTTCACTGAATATTTGAGAAAAGTACGTATTTTAAGATCAAGCCATGAACGCGGCACTGAATCATTAGCTTTCTTATAGTCCATAAAAGCAGTACATTTGTTTCTGTTTTCTTTCTTAGTTAGTTCACAGATGATGGAATCTATGATCAATTGCTCTTTGCAACCCAAGGGTCCTTTAATGCACCCTTTCTGATCTTCGTTGATTATGTCGGATTTAAAACAGTGTTGATAGATTTTTTGTGTTATGAATGAGGTTAGTATTTTCTAAATTGTATGTAAACATGTTTTAGCCCTGTATTTTGATGAACTTATTGTTTCATCATCTCTAGGTTTTAGATACGTTTCACCATGAGATAAAAATGCTGTAAATGTGGATGGACACACATAACACACTATTAAAGTTTTTGACACAAAAATTATGTATCTTGTCTTGTACTGATGATTTCCAGTTTTGTGTTCTATTGATGGCATGTATCAGTTTGTCAAGTGTTATTTGATTATCGTTTATTGGTGTAACTGTAGATAGTTTATTGGATGTGAGAAATCCATTGGGCAGATTTATTAAATTCACATTATTGAGACCAAAGTTTGACCAGAAAGTTGTTAGATCCTGTGAACTTGGAAGTCTACCAGTTAATTAAGAAAATTTCGATAGAATAATTTTCCATTTAAAAAAAAGTCTTACGATTTTTTCTGAGATTTGTTTGTTTGTTTGTACCTTTTAAAACTTTTGCTATACCGGGTATCTGGAAAATTCCGGATTAACTCTCCGCTGCGCTCTTAACAATCAACTGCTGAGTCTGGGAAAAATAGTAAAAAAAAATATTTTTATGAATTTGAAAAAGTCTTGAGTGCCGCAGTGCTTTTTTTTTAATTCGGGAGACTCTTGGGTACTCATGGTGTATTATTTTGAGAGCCCATGGAGATTTTTTTTGCAAATTATTTAAAACAATTTTGGGGGACTTTAGTGTTCTGTTTTTGGAAAATTTTGCCCTGACCTGTTTTTCAGTTAATTTTGAGACTCCGCTTTTTTTTTAATTTAAAACAATCTTGAGGTTCTGGGTATTCCCGTTTGGAAAGAATTTGAAAGTGCTTTGGAGCCTCCAGTGTCTTTTCTTATAATAATGTAATTACATTTCTTACAGGATACGTTTTTTTTTTATTTTATTTTATTGAATTTGCCAAAATCAGTCTTAACAGGTACTAGCCCCACCCACCTACCCTCTCTTTTCTTATAGTGCATTTGCCAAAATCGTTCTTATTTTAGCAGGTACTAGCCCCGCCCACCCGCCCTCTATTTTCTTAGAGGGATCTCATTTGCCAAAATCAGTATTTTTTTGGCACGTACTAGTCCCGCCCACTTACCCTCTCTTTTCTTAGAGGGTATGTCATTTTTCAAAATCGATTTCATTTTAGCAGGTACTAACCCCGCCCACCCGCCCTCTTTTTCTTAGAGGGACCTCATTTGCCAAAATCAGTCTTAGCTTAGCAGGTACTAGCCCCGCCCACCCACCCTCTCTTTTTTTAGAGGCTATTTCATTTACCAAAATCGGTCTCAATTTGGCAGGTACTAGCCCCGCCCATCCACCCTTTCTTTTCTTAGAGGGTATCTCATTTGCCAAAATCAGTTTTATCTTGGTAGTTACTTGCCCCGCCCACCCACCCTGTCTTTTCTTGGAGGGTATCTCATTTTCCAAAATCAGTTTTATCTTAGCAAGTACTGATAAGTAACTTTTACAAAAAATGATCAAAGTTTGGAAGGCAGGAATTTTGAACATCTTCTCTAGTGTTTAGTTGGTTATGCTTTGATGGATTTTTCTTTTGTTGGTTTTGTTTTTGTTTATAATTTATAAATGTCTTAATAAATGTTTTTTTTGGTTTATTTATTAATGAAAAATAACAGCTTGTTTTATTAATAATAATGTAGAAGAATTAATGACTACTAATTGTTATAGTTATTATTCTAAAAAAAAATGTGTTGTGTTTATTATAATGAGTTGGACGAAAATTATTTTTTATTATTGTTATGAAAAATGTGTATAGTTCATTAAACTACAAATAATGGAGCAATCACACTATAAATTGCAAGCAAGATTTACTTAACAAAATTTTAAGATGACGTCATTAAGTTTTTGCAAGAGAACACATTAGTACTGACAGCGATTTACAGCGTTCACGAGAACTTTAGAACATATGTAAAATTTAGAAGGAATCAGTTTTGTTTTTCTGAGTTAAATCATAAAATGGTTTTGTAAATCTACATTTCCAAGATTAAAAAAAGGTGGATTAGTAAATCTTTCTACATTTTGAATAGCATTTACTTAGCAAGATTTTGAAATGACCTCATGAGCATTTTAACTATTTACACAATACTCTCAAAATATGCCTAAAATATCACTATTGTCTATTAGTTTGAAGACCGTCTGTCCGATAAAACCGCCACAACAAGACAAACGTAAAAGGAATAATTGTGAAACTTCTATAAAATCTGAAATTATTCACTCCCTAAATAAACCCTAAGAAGATGATTAAATAATTCAATTTATTTAGATTACAGCTAATGTATTTGCTTTATGTTTTTACTGTGGTTAACCTTTCACTATATAACCAATTTTTTAAGCGATAAAGTTTCTGAGCTCTTACAAAGGTACGTTGGTTTAAATAAAACATATCGAGGGATATGAAAGTCTAATAAAGTGAAGAGTAAACATGGAAACCAAAGAAACGCCAATTGCCTATTAAAGTTCACAATCAATAAATACTCAGCTTGGTGTCAACTGAGCTACTGCTCATCTTGCTTGTAAAGTTTTTAAATAAAATGATAAGCGTATACTAGTATACTTTCACTTCACAAGAAACGATAGACAATATAATTTTGTTAAATACCAAAATGACGTTCATCAGCTTGTATATTTTTTTGTATGCACACTTTCTATGACTTTTAGTACATTTTGTACTAATTTTTGAGTCGTTTTGAGAAAGAAAACATGTTTGTATTACCCTATCTAATAATGTAATACCAACAGAACAGCAAATAATTATTCTAACATGAATGTTTACCTACCTATATTATTATTTTAATTTATTATTCTTAATCCTACAGTTGTACTGTTTTTGACCTAATCGCAAATCTTCCTACAGCCCTCCAAAGCATCAACCAAATAAGGACAGTGTGCAAATAAGAAATTTTGCGTCAGAAATCAAAAGATACTCCACAAAAGTACGTAATCATTTCATGTTTCTAAACTCGCTGTGTTTATATTCACATAAAAGGCACGTTTTACAGCTTTCAGTTGATGAAAACCCTGCCTGTAATTTAGATAAAGTATCCATGCGAGTTGCGCCATTTTACGTGGCGCTTTTCATTCAGCATCCACGTTACTTATCCAAATTGCACCGCTCTTCTACTTATAAAAGACCCGCTCCAGCAGGAACTTTGATTCGTTCCGGAGATATATTTAATTAACGCACTCTTACCTAAACTAAGTTCCTACTGATTTTTGCAAAAAAAATTGTTACCTGGATACGTGCCTCAGGTAATCCAATTTTCTCGGCAAGACGCTCCCTGGCAAACACATCGGGGTAGTGCGTGCGCTCGAATTCTGAAACAAAAAAGGGGTTCAGATCGAAGAGAAAAATTCGTCGAAATTGTTCGTTACTGTTTATCATTAGGTATTTGGGAATAATCTGCCGATTTTTTTTTAATGAAACCGAGGGGACGTGGCAAGATATTTTAGAGGGATGAAGCGCACGGAAACTTTTACTTGTTTGTATTTGACTACTGCAAGTAAACTCTGCTGTTTAAATACGGAACTAAAGCAAAATTACAGTTTTTTATTTAGAATTCAGTTATGTTAGAATTTGAGTTTTAAGTGATATTTGACTTGAAAATTAAGCTTCACAATTTTATTTTTTCTACCTGCTGTATTTGCCCGTAAAAACGCATAAAATTGAGAAATATTGTCATAAAAACTGTAAGTTCGACAAATACATAGTGCAGTTGAAAATATTAATTCAAGAAGTAGATATTTATATTTGCTCGTTATCAATTTTGAAACCCATGCTTTTTTGTCGATTTTTTCACAGAATACTAAATAAAGGAACGAAGTAGCTGCAGAATTAGTAAAATTGTCGGTCTGGCTTTAAATATTTCTTTGCTTCAGATACGAAGGTAGTAATTCCTTGATACACAAAATGAATACAGAAAAAAAGTTAATATTATTCATTACCTTTCTCCAGACTATCGATCTGCTCGTTGGTGAAAGACGTCCTGTTTCTCTGTAGCTTCCTCTTCAACCTGAGCCTAAGCTGCGAGTCCTCATCGCCCGAAGAGTTGTGTTCTGAATTTCCATCGGACGTGTTTTCGTGCATTGCGTCGGCTAGAATAAGGAAAAAATCCCTTTATAAAAAAATCTAAAGATATTTATATGCAAAACTACCTCGCCTTTACAATCGGTTTTCCGCTAAATACATTTTTCAAAACACGTATCATTTTTTTGGTGAGGGTAAATATATTTCTTTTATAATGTAACACTAACTAATAAATCAATTCGTATTACGGTATATTTTAAAGTACCTATGTATAAGTACCTTTTTCAATAAAATTGATTTAATTGTTTTTAATTTTTGTTCAAATCAATGATAATTTTTTACAAAATTTCTAAATAGAGATATGGTATATAATTCCTGGTTAAGTCCTGTAATTTATATATCAAAAAAAAATCTTGTGTTTGTTTTGTGAATATGACGCCACAGTTTTACAGGGGATGTAAAGGAAATTTTAGACATCTTTTTAAGACTTAAACGATTTACGATTCTAGAATTCTTCCATTTTGCAATTATTGGTTTTTAAAACTTTTTCATTTACTCGATTTTTCAATTTTTCGATTTTTAATTTTTCAATTTCTCCATTTCAATGTTACAGTTTTTCGACTTTACTATTTTGACGATTCTATAATTTTTCGATTTCACTATTTTTGGGTTTTCCAATTTTTCGATTCGATTCATTTTTTCTTCTTTCCAATCTTTCGATTTGCAATTTTTTAAATATCCACTTTTTCGGATTTTACAATTTTTCGTTTTCTCAGTTTTTCGAATTTTAATGTTTCCATTATAAAATGAAAAATCAAAAATGAAAAAACGAAAAAGTATAAAATAAAAATTTTGAAAAATTTAAAAATCAAAAAACTAAAAATTGAGGCACTTTAAAACAGAAAAATTGCAAAATCGAAATATTGAAAATTAAAGAAATCGGAAAAACCGGTAATTGAGAAATCTAAAAATTGCAAAATTGAGGAATTTAAAAATTGGAAAATCGATGAATTGAAAATTTTAAAGATTGAAAATTTGAAGAATTGAATACAATTATAAAATCGAAAGAAACATCGAAAAAACAAAAGAAATGAAAAAACGAAAAATTGTGAAATAAAATCGAGAAAACAAAAATAAAAAAATTCCGGAAAATGAAAATAAAAATCAAGAATTTGAAAAATTGAGGAAACGAAAAATTGAAAAATCGAAATATTATAAATTGAGAAACTGAAAAACCGAAAAATGATAAGTTGTAATATCGAAAAATTGCAATAACGAGAAATGGGAGAAATAAAAATTTGAATAAAATTTGGAAGTTTGGAAATTGGAAAAATTAAAAAAATTAAAGTTTCAAACACGAAAAATCATGTTATCAAAAAATTGTAAAATCTAAGCGCGCGATCCTCGATCTTTCATTGATAATTAAAAATAGAAAAAAATCAAAGACCAACACAACAAAAATCGCAGTAGAGTTACTTTTAAAGCCTGACAATATTATGTGAAAGAATAAATAAAGATAACACGCTTTAACAACTAAATCAAATTATTAATGTAGAGTGTTTCTTCAGTTCTTTGATTTGCAATTTTTCAAATTTCCACTTCTTCGATTTTACAATTTTTCGTTTTTTCCGTTTTTTTCCATTTTAAACGTTTGGATTTTTCAATATTTCCATTTTTCAACTTTTCGAATCAAAAAAATGGAAAAATTGCAAAATTGTAAAATTGAAAAATAAAAAATGGAAACACGAAAAAGTATAAAATGAAAACTTCAAAAAAATTTAGAAATCAAAAAATTAAAAATTGTGAAACTTTAAAATAGAAAAATTGCAAAATCGAAATATTGAAAATTAAAGAAAAGAAAAATCGAGTAATTGAGAAATCTAAAAATTTCAAAATTGAGGAATACGAAAGTTGGAAAATCTATGAATTGAAAAATTAAACATTGAAAATTTGAAGAATTGAATTCAATTATAAAATGGAAAGAAACATCGGAAAAATAAACGAAAAATTGTGAAATAAAATTGAGAAAATGAAAGTAAAAAAAATCCGGGAAAAGAAAACTAAAAATCAAGAAGTTAAAAAATTTAGGAAACGAAAAATTGAAAAAACGAAATATTAAAAATTAAGAAACTGAAAAACCGAAAAATGAAAAGTCGTGATAACGAAAAATTGAAAAACCGAAAAAATGAAAAATTGGAAAATCTGAAGTTTAGAAATTGAAAAATTAAAAAACCGAAAAATCATGACATCAAAAAAAATCTAAGCGCGCGATCCTCGTGATTTCATTGATAAAATTAGAAAAAAGTCGAAGACCAAAGTTGTACGGTTCTTTGAAGACCATAGTCTAATTTTTTTTTTTAACTATACAAACTGTTCCGTTTTATCAACTTTAAATATATAGCAAGAATGAAAGAGAACAAAAAATAGTATAAGATGTAGTAATAAAAAACTGGTGTTCTGTCAAAAAACGCGTATATATCGATAATTGAAAACTGTAACAATTAAAACATTTTTATAAACACTCAGTATATGAGAATTTACACTACAACAAACCGTACTTTTCTTTATTTCTCCACAAAATGTTGTAACACAGGTCTTAAAAATAACTCTACTGTGACTTTTGTTGTGAACCCTTCCATTGCTAAAAAATTTCAAGAAAATTTGAATTAATAAGAGGTCAATTAAAATATGTTAAAATATATAGGGTGTTTCATTAAAAAAAAACTAACTTGTGTGTTACGCCTTAAAAACAGAACACTTTGTGTAGTTAAAAATCATCGATGTAGTCCTCGAAGAACAGTGCACCGTTGATCTTAGACTTTCTTTTCTATTTCTAATAATAATTAATGAGATATGCGCACTTAATAACTTCACTCTGTATATATTCCATTTTTGGAGATTTCAATTTTAAAAAATCTGACGTGTGAACTTATAAACTACTTATCGTAGAAAAATGTTTAAAAACTAAAAGGAATTTAGAGAGGGATGTCGTATGTCCACAATTTAAATTTTTCCTATCAAAATCTTCCGAGTTTATGGGTTATTAATTAATTATGTTCTGGAATTATGGAAGTATTCCAGCAGATATTATTAGTTATATGTACCTAGCAAATCTCTCCTAATTGCGTAATGAAGCAACTAAGATTCGTCCCAGCCCTAACTTTTTAAGTTTATTTAGAAATTAATTTCGTTGCTTAAGACCTTTAAAAGTGAGATTTTTGCGACTATTCTCGTCATAATTTACATTTCTACTTAAGATTTTGTAGATTCACGACTTAGCCACGGCCTAAATCACTCTTTAAATTCCGAAGTAATCATAATCGGTTACGCAGTTCCGGAAACAACCTGCAGTAGATAGACAAAGAACATCCAGAAAAATTCATACCCCACAATCTTTAAACCCCCCCTAAAAACATGAAATTACACATTCGTCAAAATGCCCTTACACTACTTCCCTAAGCTATCGCTCTGAGAATAAAAACCCTCTATTTTTTGTCGGTTTGTTGTTATTGTTGCGGTGTTTTCATTAAAAACATGGCTGCGATTCGAGAAATTGGCCAAAAACAGAACGCGTGTGCTGTCGAGGAGCGCCGGCACCAGGGAAGTTAACGTCTCTCCGTGCATTTCCCACCCTGTGTGCGCGTCCCTATTTACTTCCGCTTCTGTAAACTCCACCCCATTTCATATCCACCCTCGCCATTTCATTCTCCTTGTTTTATTTCATCTTCTGATCCTGTTCCCTCTCCCTCCTGTTTATGTTTTCCACTGACGAATCTCGCAACGAGCCGAATTTGCATAATTTTAGATTTCGGCGTTTTTTCCCCGCCTGAGAGCGAGTTAACGATTAGTTTCGTTTTTGACCGATGGATATTTTGCACATGGATCGCTTGTGCATTATCAGTATTGAAAAATTATTTTTTTCTCTATTAATGGGAAAACGAAATTTAATTACAGGAGATGAGATCCGCAATAACGGAAAATGTTATTATCAATGATTTGAGTTATTTTTTTCGGAAAATCAACCCACGCCAGTTATGAAATTACACGAACGCAAAGAAACAAGAAACGCGTTTCAGCCTCCTCTGAAGTAATCCATAATCTGGTAATATGTATTTATATTATAAAATTTAAAAAACTGGAACATGAAGGAAAATGTTCATTGTAAAAAAATCACATACATATCAGGTAATAAAATGCTTAAACCTAAGGGTATTTAATTTTTTTGGGACTAGAATATGTTGATTTATAAACAATCCTAGACGACCTACTGAATTAGCATAATTTTATCTTTCGGCATTATCTCCCCGGCCAAGAGCCAGTTAACAATTAGTTCCTTTTTTGAGCTATGGATTCGGATGCGACCGGGTGTCAACAGACGGAGCGAAATTTCGGTTTTAATCAGGTTCTTGTCGGGAATTGTTTTCCGGCCGGCTTGCTTTCGGTATAAGAGGGTGTTTTTTGCGAATTTTAATGGAGCCGGCCCTGGCTTGTCGAGTGTTACGATGAAATTTACCGCTAACACAATTACCGGTTTAGATTGGGCAGCAAAAGTTCACTCGCACGGAAGTTATGTTCATTTTGAAACGACCGCCCCTTGCAAACTAAATTATTTTATCTTTCCTGCCTCCCTCGACCTCCGCGGGATCGCCATAAAGACCGCTCACCTCAAACAAAATACGATTTTATGGCGAGGCTGGAGAAAATTTCCACAATTACAAAATTCTGGTCGTTTCGAGATTAATGGTCTTGCGAGATGGCAGTGCTGATTCGGAAATATAGCATCAAGCAAAGGCTAAACAAAGCTTGTAAGAAGCTGAATCGACAGTTGCTAACAGCAAATTTGTATTGAAGAAAATGTAGAAACAATTAGGTACAAACTGATATATTGAACATGACAGGTAATACGGAAAGTGAATTCCGATGTGTTTCTAGTACATTTGCTTACATTTTCTAGTCCTCCGCAAACAAATGGGACAAACGGGACCGTCTCTTGATGTTGATCATTTTGCACATGTTTCGGATTCTGTATAAAATGTAAATATAACTGACTTTTAATGTATCAGAAAATATATCTCAGTTTATCAAATTTTAAATCGTAAAACAGGTGCTTTACTTGCAGTGGCGATCAAAAATACCGTTAGACAAGTTTTTTATTCATTTGTAAATAACGCCAATTATCTTAACGATCTAAAACTTAATATTTTAACATAAAATTTCTTCAAAGGGTTTTTTTACAGAAAACCGTGAAATTATGCAAGAAATTATAAAAATTAAAATTTGATCCCCCCGCATTACTTTTTTTTAGTTAAACTTTTTTTAAACTTAACTTTGATGTACAAAATTAACTTCGAAACGTTTCAAAGATTTCCACCAAATTTTCAATTAAAATTAATTTTTTCTATGAGAACTTGTTGAGCGTTTATAATCTTTAAATACTTACATAAAAAAAATGTTTTATGAAAATATTATGAAAGCTGAAATACCAAAACTGTTTCTGAGTTACAAATAGGATACAACTTTTTTTGTAATCCAAGTATGAAGTTACTTTAGGGGGAATTAGCGGAAGTATCTAACCACATGTGTGTGATATTGCGTTAAACCACAAGTGGAGTAAGTTATATTATGAGAGCGATTTCAATTTTTAAGGTTCCATTTTATTTTGAAGATTTTGTATGGTGTTTTACAAGGTGAAATATCATTTGAGACAAACTATTTATCTTAAAATTTAATTTCCCGTTTTTCAATATTTGTAATCATACCAAAACTTAAGTTCAAAAATGCGTCGAAAAGTACTTATAAATCCATTCCAATATATTCCAATATTCCAATATTTTCACTAAAAGCTTTCTTACCGCTGTTAAGGAAAAAGTTTTTGATTTATCAAATACTATTATATATTGTTTCAAGAGTATCAAATGTAACGAGGAAATATACTATGTAAAAACTTTTAAATAATGTACGAAATTAGAACGTAACCTCTGGCCATTGTGGTTAGTTTAAAAAACTTTCCAGATGCGTTTATTCTGCTCTTAAACAAATGATCGTTAATTTAAATGTAACATTTTTAGTATTCCGTTTTACTCTTTTCCCCGTGAAAATTACACACCTACATGATGGTAAACTTCCAATAATTAATTTAGCAAAATTTGTCCCTTTGAAATAAACCCGATGCTATCGTTAAATTTTCCATACGCAACCCACATACCTACACGTTGAATGCATAATAAAATACTCACCATTATATAATATTCTATCATTTCACAGAGGCGAAACACCCTGTAGGGATTCAGCCCTTTCCAGCATTCAGATGTAATATCCGGTTATAATAATTTAGGATATTAATGAGAGTTCGTGCCGTGTAATTTGCAATGCGCATTGAATTTAATTCGAAATGTTACCGTGTAAACACAAAATGCATGTTGTTTGCACATTGAGATAATTTATGAATGAAACGAAACGGTTTTTGATTAATTAAATTCGGTTTATTTTAATTGGACCGTCTATGTTTTCCACTGAATTCACTTTTATGGCCGGCGAAAATAAACACCAGTTGAAATTACGGTTTTATACAAATATGAGCGCAGCCAATTTAATTAAACATTTCTCAAAAATTCACCTCGCTTTTGTAGATCATCGCTGGTAGGGTTGGACAGTTAACTTAGCAATGTATGACGCCGAGTTTTATTTTTAAGGGTAAGTTCATCTCAGGTTACGAAATTTTTACTCAAAATTTGGCGATTTTTACAAAACTGTTCCTATAATTGTGGTTAAAAAAACTATGAAAAATCATTGTATCAGAATTTGCTGGGACGTCTTCAAACAAATGTGAAATAAAATGAGAAATTTGAAACATATTAACCTCATGCAGGTTCGGAACAGCTACTAAATTTAAAAACTTTGGATGTTACAGGAAATTAAACATGAAAGGTTACAAATGAAATAATTAAACTTTGTTTACGAGAAATTGTCAGTGCATTGTTAGCATGTCATAATTACCATTCAGAACTGGAATTTTTATTGCTTGATAATTAAAATTTAAAAATCAACTGGTGCTTGATGGAGTACATATTTACTAAAACGAGTTATTGCAGAGCGCACAAATTAACAACGAATTTTTGAAATTAGTCTATTATTTGACTGGTTACCACAACATCAAAAGTCAATAAATGATGTTAAGTTATTCAATTTGAAGTTAAATACTAAACTTTAGAAACTTGTGTGCTTGTCATTTACTTTAGATTAGTTTCTACGTGAAAATCAGCTTATTTTTAGAAGAAGAACCAAATTTTGATTTTAAGATTGGTCACTCAACCGAATATTATGTGCTTTGGTTTTTTTTATAATCGTACTCTTGAAATTAGTTAGACACTAGATATGTCTTTACAGATTTTTGAGTGGTTAAATGTGGAACGTTTGACCAACATCACCAAATCGCTCAAAAAACTTAAAATAATCATTGGTTCATTAAAAATGTTTAATTTTCAGCTAATTATTTGAGGTAACTTTGTGGAGTTTTGTTAACTTTTAACATTTAAATTTTTCTACCCATTATCATTATTATTATTATTAAATTCTTGATACTAGGGTTTGTTTTTGCTGAAAAATTCACCTCGCTTTTGCAGATCGTCCCTGGATATCTGGGTGGTGAGGGCGGCGGGGGCAGGCGGCAGGCCCAGGTGGGGTGCCGTGGGGGTGCCCGGGTACCAGGCCCACCCTGGAGTCTGGCCGTTGAACATCCGCAGCTTGTCGTAGACGCTCTCGTTCTGGGCTGAGGCTTGCTGCTCCTTCTGGGACGCCAGATTTCGCAGGACGCGGTTGATCGAGGAGACCTGAAAGCATTGTACGGACGATGTAGATTTTGTGGGAAAAGCACGCATGCAAACAATGCCGATGCCAGATGCAATACTGTGCAACTCAGGCACTACAAACACCCTAACTGGCTTATCCCTATCCCTGGATGGATGTTATTATGGCCCATTCTTCGCGGCTAACCAAGTGGAAGCACAACACCTCGTCACTGTACGTCACCAACAGGCGGACTTTCTTCGGTGCCGGCTTTCCACCGGTTTATTTAATTGTTTAATCGTTTAATACACTTTTGTGGAAACGAAGGCAAGGTTATCAAACTTGATAATTGCATTACGCAAACCAAATCGAAGTCAAAGTTTTGAGGCGGGTGGAAGAGATAAACAAAAAGTTGAGATTTGTGCTTGTTATTTATTTGTTAGTAAAAAAATATTTGTAGCTACATTACACTTGTTACTAATTTTTTCACTTCCTTATGTGTTACCACGGTCAATAGGCCTAAAAATTGCATAAATGTACTAAATTTTGACTCGAAAAAAACCATATATGTATTTCTCTATTATTTATATTATTTCTGACTAGTTTTCTTAGACACCTAATATTGTTACAAGCTTGTTATCAAAAATGGAAAACATTATTCCTAAAAAATCTGAAAATTATGGAAATAAAAGTTCAAGAAGATTGAAACACTTAAGCATAAATTATTATTTAGATTGGGTTTATATTGCAAACAATTTTCAGCAGACATAAAGCAGATATTAATTTCCATTGAATTTTTACAAACAGTGCTATAAACTGGCGTTTTACAATGAAAGAATATTAAAATGATGTCCCGTGTGTTGCCACGAACTGATGTCTCAAACATGAGGCTGGGAGAATTTTTGTAGTGAAAAAACTCTCCTAAACTGTTTTAATTAACGTTATAATTAATACATTTCAATTGGACCTGTGATGGTACTGAATTAAAAGTCAATAAAAACAGGTTAACAATATTAAAACCTAAGTATACCATAAGAGATGTATGTACGAATATTACGATTCGATGTTTTTTGCGAGTGGTTCAATAATAACTACAACTGCTTTCAGTAAGGTATAGCTGCAAGAGCTCAAGTTTGAGAATTTTTTATACCTCCTGATGAATACGAAGTACTGGTTCGATTAAATGTATTTTTCATTTTTTTTTCAGAAAACCGGAATGTAAGACTACTTTTGTGATTCCAGTTAAAAACATTTCCATAATACATTCTGCTCATTCTTGTAATTTACGCGGGTGCAGTCTATATGTTGTATTACTTTGTTCGATTATATACTTCATGCATACGACCTTTGTTTCACACCGTATAAAATAAGTCGTATCTTTAAAAAACTTTAATAATTGGTCTAAGTTTATTTAAACTGAACTTCCCTCGCCCCTGAAATACAATCCAACAAATCCCGTTTATTCGGAAAATAATAAAATTTGATTTTGGGAAATTTAATTTTTTTATGACAACTTAAAAGTTCAAAAATATAGATGATACCAGTCATAGTGTAAGCAAAAAAGCCACATAACGTAATCGACCCCACGACCCATGCGTTGCTTACATTATTAGATAGTATAAAAATTGTTATTGAATTTGTATTTTTTTATAAAAATCTGGATACCTAGGGGAAACGCTCAAGCCGGATTCATAAACCACAAGTACAGGAGTTTGTTATTTTATAAAATTTAAATGGTATTCATTATGACAAATATACAGACTGAAACGGCAAACCTATTTTTCGAGAAAACATGAAAGGAGTCATCGTCCGATGGACCCTACTATAATGTTTCCTTAGCTTACGATCGGGAAGTAAAAAGGCCAAAAATGTATTTTACTTTTCTTGCTTTAACGACTTTTAAATTTTATGAACAGTGATATGGCCATGAATAAATAACATAATTTTAAATTATATTCTTCTGATGTTTAAATACTAAAGTTTTAAAGTTATGTGATCTAGTTTTGTACATACGTTGGACAAAAATAAAATTTAGAAATATTTAAAATTTTGAATTCGTGTTTATTGCAGTTTTCTGAGATACACGCATTTTGCTTGGTTTATATACATACATATATGATCGAAAAAAAAACTTGTCAAGTGTACTTTGTATTTTTTTTAACTGGATTGACAGCATTAATGATTTCTGTCACTTTGACATGAGAAGCGTCGCGTTTATATTTGGAGGTTATGCATTCTAAGTAAATCATAAATCAAATTGATAGATTTAAATAACGTCATTCAAAAAAATAATACTGTTAACATATTTTTTTTATAAATTCCAAAGTACACTTGACAAGTTTTTTTTCTCTCTAAAAAACTCTAAATAAGTACAAGAGTATAGCAATTTTAAAATTATGAAATATTTTTTTGACATCGCCTTTGTAGAAACACGTGTCAGCACATGGTTCAATCTTCGACATTTTGAATTTGCAAATTTTAGAAATTTTTATAATAAAATCAATGTCGTTTGTAAATGAAAGGGAACCTTGCCGTCGCCGTTGTTATCACGAGGTTTTTTAAAATCATAACCTCAAACTGATAAAATTGACTTCGGCTACTTTTAACTCACTTGACTTCTACCTAATAGAACTTTTATTACTTAAACGGTTTAAGCCAAACCACCCTTAGTAGTCGAATTGGCTATTGTAACCTTTATGGACCCGAACCGCAAGGATTATTACTGTCCATTGTCGTCATACTGGAGTTGTGAAATTTTACTAGGTATGTGTCAACTGAGTTAAGTTATACAATAGCCCGACATCCAAATTTTTGGAAAAAAAAAATTAAATTGTATAACAATATTTTGCAATTTAACTTTGAAACTGCAAAACCAATTGCTCTGAAATCTTGTAAACGTTTTTAAGTAATCATGGTAAATCGTTAATCAAAATGTATTTGTTCAACCCCTCTCAAATAATTAATGACGTCATCTCAGAATTTTGCTTAGTAAATCCTCTCTGAAATATGCAAAATACTATAAATCTATACTTGTGTATATAGTTTTTAGAATTATTTATACAGGTGATTCAAAAAATTAATGAATGGGGCTATTTACTAACTTTATTAATTAAATCAAGGAAATTTGGGAATACAGTACTGTGGTTATTAGTATTACACTGCATCTATCCAAATTGATTTCAGTGTCTTTGCAAAAGTGTTGATGACGTCACCACAAAATTTTATAATAGGAAAACCACTTGAAACAAACATTTATATGATTTTAACTTTTACAAGAATTATAATAGAAAATAAAATTCCCAAAATCAAACCATTTTTCGAAAAAGCTGGATTTATTATACGGTACTTCAGGAGCGAGGGAAGTTGTGTCGTAGGAGTAATAAGCTTCGACCAATTTTTAAAGTACAAATCTACCTATGTTTTTAATCAGGCTCTAAAATATAATAAAAAACAGATATAATAATAATTCTACATGGTGAAATCAGTGAAAATCTTCAAAAATTGTGCCTTATGAATATTATTCAAATTTTTGTAGGGAGCCTTAGTAGCAAAAAATCAGTATTATCAATAATTTACTTACAACGAAATATAGTTTTTGATTATTTAAAAGTAATTACTTGAAATATTTTTTGTATCTATTAATGAAACGACAAACATGAAAACTCAAACTATATGAAAACTTCTCTGTCAGACTTTACAAAAGTTATATTAGTTACGAAGTCACTAACAAGTTTCGATAAAAACATATTAAATGCGTCTGTTAGCATCACGAATATTTATGTGTTACTAGTGAGAAACTAACATTTCTTATAAACATAAAAACTGAATAGAATACTGTGTATAAGTCACATTTAAAATTTGTTCTGACAAAGCTGCAAAATATGCATAAAAATTACTAAATTAATTTCCGTCATAATTTACATCATAATACAAAACTATATGTTCACTATTTTTTTAAATCAGTGAAAAGCGACTCAATTAGGTCCTCAGATCCTAAAATCCAGATGTGATGACGACGTAATAGGATTTCGGTTTTCAGGTGACAAGCTTGAGTTAGCACAGTTGACATAAATATTTTGAAATTGGGCAGAAATTGCAGAAAAAAAATGTATTTTAAATTATTTCAAAATGAAAATGTAATGGAGCAAATTGTCTCTAGTAGACCTGTACTAAACTCTATAACAAGTGAAGTTAGACATGTTTATTATTTATGTTCAGAAAGTTATTTTTGTATCCACTGAAAAATTCTGAATTTGCTTTAGCGATGAAATCGTGTGAGAAATAAATTGCTTGTCAAGGTTTTTTTATCAAATTTGTTTTTAGTAGTAGAATTAGATGTGTATTGGTGAAATAACCAAGTAACCCCTATTTAACTTAATGTTTTATTTGGTGGATGATTCAGTCCGAATCTGTGCACGATTTTCCATCTTTTAACGATCCTACGAAAAATTGTCAAAGTTTTCCCTTTGAGCGAATCCAACGGTTGCACACCTCATAAAAGCTCGTAGTCTCCAACCGCAATCGGGTGTGTTTTATAATTTAAAGCGTTCCGAGTTAGGCGGTTATTACCATCAAGGAGGCATTGTCCCGAGGGAGTGCCTGGAGCAGAATGGAGCGGCTTGTCGAAAGGGAAATCACTGTGGTTTCATAAATTGAACAATTTAATACGGCGCAATTCAATTACATTTTACGATAAATTTCTTTCAAGTTCATTTTGAAATTCGCATTATTACCGGGAGGAGACATCCCGGCAGTGGCCGTCCCTCATCCACGAGCCGGGCTATTTCACATATGACCGAACACGAATTGTACAACACGCTTAGCTGATCCTATTCAAAAAAATTCTTCCCTCTCTCGCGCCCCTGCTCAGCCCTCCGTTTTCCCTTTTTTTCCTTTCTTGATAGTGGACGGCATAATGACGTGCGATGCAAACCGGATGATATGAAGCGGTTTTCGCAAATCCACCGGATATCGGTTTCTCGATCTGTTCTGTCAAAAACAGGGGACCACTCGATGACATGTGGCTTCACAATGCGCGGTCTAC